GGCATACTATATAATAACCAGTTTATGTTCACTAATCCATGACTCAAGTTTAACATCATCTCATTAGTTAGTTAATGCATAGTGTTTTGTTTAAACCATTAGTTATTTCTTGAAGGTTTAGATTTTCTCTGTGTTTCAATCTCAGAGATGTCATATTGAACAATAGTTAGTTAGAGTTCACCAATACAAATAGGGTTTAGACGTTTAGTATTCCCTCTTTTGCATTATTATCATCTCGTTAGTTAGTGAATGTATTGTGTTTGAGTTCTTCCATACCAATTTAGGATTTAGACTTCATGTATTATATTTATCATATAAATCTTTTTGGGATGTTTATATGACATATCTATGGGTTGTTGACGTTTATAAACGATCTACTCCATAAATCTTATATGTTTCTACGATGTTGACGTTTATAAACGATATGCTTCGTAAATATGTTTAGCATGATTGACCGCTGAGAAGATGAATAAGACTTGAAATCACAAGACGACCACAAACTTAAGACAGAAAACCGCATAAAAACATTAGATATAATAATAAAACTCATATTAAAAACCATAAAAACCAAGATATATCATGGAATGTCATGTTAGAGTTGACATGAGGATTTGTCATGGATGAGATGATATTCCGGGATAGTGGAATGTCATGTTAGAGTTGACCTGATGATTGATAATGGATGAAATGATATTCTGGGATAATGAAATGTCATATTGGGACTACGAGAGGTAGTTCTGGTTAGAGATGTTTATTAACGTTTAAGAATTGATTGCTTTAAGGGATGAGAATTTCCCCGAACAACTCATTGGGAGATGAGGATTTCTCTTGAGAGGATGAAGATTTTCCCTGTATGTTATTGAGAGATGAGAATTTCTCTCGAGTGGATGAGGATTTTCCCTGCATACCGATAGCTCGATGGATTGTGTGTCCTGAGGATGTGAGTGGTATGGTGCACCGATAGCTCAAAAGACGTGTTCTTGAGAGTGTGAGGGGTGTGGTTATGAGTTGGGAGAAATTAATGTCTAAACCGTGGCTATAAGCATAGGACTAGATGCGAATCTCAGAGGTCAGGGGTGTTGATTTCAGGTGGTGTTGGCTAGGCGGGTCAGGTGGTTGAGACCGTAGTGAATAAAAATGCGTGATTTGAGGTCGAATCCAGGTTAGTGGGGGAGAGTTGTAACGCCTGTGAACCAAAAATTAAACTTTTTGGTGCAATTTTTGGAGGGTGCCGATCGACACCCACTACTGACTGTTGGTTCGATTTTAAATCGTTTGGTTAACGATTTTGGGTTGGAAAACCCTAGGGCTCGGCTATATAAACGCGAGCAGCCTCTTTTTGGACGAGAATCAGAGTTGAGAGAGATTTTGTTGGTGTTTGAGAGAGTTTAGAGGAGATTTTGTTCCTAGAGCATGTTAAGGCTCGATTAAGGCTGTAGGAACAAAAAGGGGTCATGTGTTGGTGATTTCGAGAGGAAGAGGAGAAGAATCAGAGGTTTTTAGGCTGTGAAGGGAGTCTGATTTCGTGTTTGTCGCTATCCTTGTCTTTTCAACCCGAAATCAAGGTGAATGCGTGACCATGGCTTATCTGGGTGGATGGTTTATCAAGATATGTCGATGTTTGTGTGGATTGGATGATTGGTGGTTTGTGAGGATGTTTCCTCTGTGATTTCGTGATGTTTGGTGTGTTTGTTTATGTTTGTTTTGCAGGAAATCGACATGGAGCAGACTGGAATCGAACCAGAGAGGAGAGGGTTTGATTTTAGAGACTGTGCGGACGAGTGTCGATCGACACCAGTCGTTTTTTTTCGTTGTTGTGTGTTTGTGTGATGAACATATTTTGTTGTGTGTCTTGGTAATTCATCG